CGGCCGTGCCGGTTAATGCCCCCGTGAGCTTAATGCTCCACCTCCACCTTCTCTTGGAGCACTCTGGTGTCGGCTAGAGTACAACATTTATAATGCGCCTGCGCACGCAGTAGTGTATGCACTCTGCAGCCCGCGTCATTCCGTTATACACGCGCCTATATAGTACTTGGTACACGCACTTACACTACTCTGTCGTAGTGTACACATGTATGCTACCATACTTTTTCCCTCTCTCTCTCTCTCACTTTGCCGTCCCGTGTAGGGCACGTTGCACTCTCTCAGCATTCACCTTCTCCTCTCTCGCTGCTCCACAGATCTCTCTCCTCCTACTTTGTCGATATAATATATAGCCGGCTCCGGTCGTTGGCCTCGCGCGAGCGCGGTCGTCGCCTCTTTCGCCACCCCCTTCGCCTCGCCTCTTCGTCCGAGTAGTCTATGCGCTCGCTACTAAGATTCGCTCATCGTCTAGCTGCTTGCCTGTACTATATTTGCGTTATCTCTATCTCTTTTATAGCTGTTGTCTAAGCGCTGTTTGGCCTGCCTCCGATGTTTCATACAATTATCACGCGACTCCTTCGTAACTGCACAGGAATTTTCCACTTCTTCTTGTATAAGCAGCAGGACGACTCGTAAGTTTTGCTTCTTTTTTTCATGACAAAAGAAAAAGTCTTACCGAAATCGGGAGCAACGTGGTATCCTCAAAGCCGAGCAGGTGCGGAGTGGTGGGATCGATTTTTCGCTCGCAAGCCCAGATCGTTGACTCCACAATGAAGTTGTACACCGCGCAGGGAGAAAGTCGAGCCCGGTGCATCTATAATATTCCCTCCCCAAAGAGAGAGTTGAGTTGAGTTGAGTTGAATTTATTTAATCGACAATGGACTCAAGGTCCTACAACGCCGAGGCATAGTGTATATATAATAAAAAAGAAACAAAATGACTGAGCTAATACAATGGCATCAGCCTAACAAAGAGAGAGAGAGAGAGAGAGAGAGAGAGAAAAAATAAACAAAACATAGTGCGCACACGGCGTGCACGCTAGAGTCATTCACCCCGTTGGAAAAGCTCTGTCGCTCGCTCGCAAGCTCATATAGCCACCGAAAACGACGCCTTGAGTGTGGGTGTATATATATACCATAGGTATAGAAGTTTCTCGAGCGAGTGCATAATAGTGGAACAGTAGTTGCGTGGCACGAGAATGTCGCGGTACGCGTACGGTGTAATTTGGAATCGCCTCGTGGGGGGGTGGCAAGTGTGCGAGGCAACCATCGGAGAAAGATGGTCGTGGTCGTCGACCCCGTGTGACCCGTTTGGGGGATGCACTGCGCGCTGCGTTGCGCTCTACGTGTGTGTGTGTGTGTGTATACAAAAGGAAGGGGCGGGAGGGAGATCGATGCCAGCTAGGTGCTGGCTATGTTATATATACGTTCTCCCTTGCTTCCTTCTATACACAGCTGCACACTCCACGTACCCCTCCCCCTTCGGCTCCCCCCGGGGGGCGTGCGTGCGTATATGCAGGCCAACGGTAGCACGTACATACAGAGGGGTTCATCCGGGGTTGCTGCCCTCGTGCCCGGGAGGACGTGCGGCAGCGCACGCCGGAACACACGGTGGCTATACACCCTGTAGCACGTTATACGGTACGGAGCAAAGCCCGGTCGTGGCCCCCTTTCGCGCTCCTACGAGGGATGAGTCTATACTCCAACGGACCACTGACCCCCCCCCCTCCTCCCAACTGGCTTCGCGTTGAGTTTGTGCCATTTAATCATTGATCTCCCGATTTTTCAAAAATATACTCTGGTATCATATGTGAGCACAGCCTTTTCGAATGTCGGCACTGTTAAACGGGGGGAGGTTGACTCCTTGCACCGAGTGCTCTATTTCCGTCGCTCATCGCTGGGCGAGAAAATATACCGCTCCGGGACGAAAATCAATGGGCCGATCTATTTCCGCGTCACATCGTTCATTAAATATCCGCTGCCGAGTCTCACTTGTTCGGGCTGGAATTACTCGCTGTTATTTTCAGGACCATCTCCTTTGCGACAGGACTTTTCGCGCCCAATACATCCAACAGAATCGTCTTTGCCGAGCACACCACGCGCGGGTTATATATATATATATATATATATATATATATATAAAGCATTCCTGCTCGTCGTTTCCTGGCAAAGGAGCTTAGACGACACCCCAAGCAATTAGCATTCGGCTCGTGGGGCCCGACGGTCGTCACTCTCTCATGCACCGCACGGCGGTCCTTTTTCTCTCTCTCTCTATGTATATACACAAGTACTGCCAGTAGCGCCTCTATATAATATGTCTGTGTACATTATTCTAATACGTACCACGTCGCAGGACAAAAGAGCAACGATCTTAGCGGCGCTCGCGTCCTGGTGCATTGCCACTGTGTGTATATATACATGGCGGGCTGCAAAGGTGCAACGGTACACCTCGTTTCTTATTTGCTCTCGCAGCAGCTCGCCAAGGCGAGGTCGCGCGCGACCGGTAGCTTCCCGAGTGCACAAAGCCATTGCTACGACGTTTCCGAAGCTCCCTTCCCTTATCGATTGATTTTTTTTTTTTTTTTTTTGTTTGCAAATTTCTATTGCAAAACTGTTTTTACGCATTGTCCTCGGGCCGGTATCGTTGCTCCACCGACAATGTTATAAACCGTGACTCGCCAACGGCGGATAAACAAATAACAAGTGACCAATCCTTTCACCGGATGATCCTTTCCAAATATAAGAACTCATCACCGCGACCGAGGCCACGTAATATGCCTACTACTACTACCATACTCCCGGTCGTTGCGAAACTCGGGTAACTGTTTTTTCTTTTTCTTTTTCGCGACGGCAAGTCAATATTACGCGCGGCCGTGAAAGCCCGCCGAAAGTAAATACCTGTATACGTGTACGCGCTCGAGAGCTCCTTTTCGTAACACACAGAGAGACAAAACGCCTCGTAACCTTGGCGCGGGAGAAAATTAACGCTAAAATGTCGACCAAACATACGGTACCCACGTAACAAGACGCGCCATGAGCACACACCCGCGATGTACACACGAAAAAAAAAAAAAAAAAAAAAAAAAGGAACTTGCGACATCCACGCGCTCGTCGAAACGGGGAGATCGCTTATTAGGCAATCCTATACATTTGATTCCCACTCGAGTAAAAATCGTGATACAACAATCGCCGAAAAGCTACGCTACCCCCCATGACTGTGATAAGCGCGTGCGCGCCACCCTCCCGAAAACCGCGGTCGGAGAAAGGCCCACCCCCTCCCACCCCTATGTATAACATACGTATATATTCGTCCTACAGCCGTGGCGAGAGAGAGAGAATTACGCAACCTCCCGATGGTGTTGTACGTGTACTATATATCGTCTCTCCCTTCTCCTGCACCACCACCTCCTCCTCCATATACGTGCCCTCCCTCTTTCTCTAGCTTCACGAGTCTAGCAGCAACAGCAGCGGAGAGAAAGGTCGTTGACCGAGCGGGTTTCCACTACCACTGTACCATACATACACCGTTTCCCCCCCCCCCTTACTTCAACCCCTTGCATAGCGCCTAGCTCTCTCCTAGCATACAAATACCGTGTGTGCACCTCCCTCGGATTTTTGGAGAGCACTGCCCATGGGGTCCGCGTACATATTCGCGTGCGTTGGCGCAGATACCGAGAATAGTTTGTCCCAGAGCGAAGAAAAAGGAGAATCGGTTATCACGCGCGCAAACTCGCCACAATGGGGGTAGTTATCCATCCTCGTGACCGGTTTGTCATTGCCACCGATAAGAGTTGGATAATCATCATTTTGCTTCTCCGCAGCCCCCTGTATACCGCGTAGCTCGGGCACGCACCGAGGGGGGGGTGGGTGGCTAATTTGTGTAGCTTCCGTGGGATCAGTAATAACACGGTAGGTGACAAGCGTATAGCAGCTTCGGTCGAGATGGGAGGTGGGCATCAGGTAGGGAGGACGAGGACATCGAGCTTTCCGCCGGGCGAAGGCAGGGGGAGGAAAAAAAAAAAGGAGAGCGAGGCAAAGCAAGAGAGAGAGATAGAGAGAGAGAGAGCGCGCAGGGACTCTCACTTTCACGCGGTGAACTGCGCGCGGGTGAACGGCCGGGAATTGGGTCAGAGGGCCCCCCCACCTAGCTCGCCGTCTGTCTTTCTCGGGTGCACGAGCGACCTGGGTTTTTCTCGTATGTGCCGTTGCGCGAGCGCGAGAGAAAGAGACCGCCACCACCTCCTCTCCTCTCTCGCTCCGTGTCCTTCTCCGCTGGTTTCGGTACGTGCTAGAGACCACAGCCGCGCCAGTCCACGCTCAAGCTCTGCAACAAACGGTCGTGCCGTTTGGTTACATTGTGTATACGCGCTTCATGCCTAGAGCTTACCCGCAACACCAACACCCAAATACATAAGCAAACAGTGGTCGAGGGACTGAGATACGTGTATACATACGTATCGCGAGTAGTGCTGTTGTTGGTTTTGGTTGGGTATAATATAGTTCCTGTTCTCGTGGGGGTGAAACAAAAGAGAAATGTGATTAAACCAGTGGCCCGATCATAATAATCATCATCATCATTATATTTGTGCGCGATCGGAGTTTGCAGTCAGTGGTAGAATCGAAGCGCCTGCCGGACAGCACTTTTGCGTACATCGGTGCTGTTTCCATTGCGTTATTTTTGTGATTTTTTCTTTCTTTTTTTTTTTTTTTTTTTTTTTTTTTTTTTTTTTTTTTTTTTTTTTTTCTTTTCCCTTATACCGGGGCCGAAAATAATAAAAGAGACCGCAACCTAGAGAGAGAGAGAGAGAGAGAGAGAGGGGGTACAACGTTATAGCGGTAGACCAGGGAAAAAAAAGGGTTTCGTCCATGGGGTGCCTGTGTGAATGCGACCTGGCCTGCAGCAATCCCGCTGCTTTGAGCAGTGGCTCGGGGGGCGGCTCGTCCTCGGACAGCGACGCTGGTAACTTGACTGACGAGGGCTTCGGGGATTCTTCTGGTTCGCAGGGTTTCTTCCGTCGCAGCATCCAGCAGAAAATACAGTACCGGCCTTGCACCAAGAACCAACAGTGCAGTATACTCAGAATCAACAGGAATCGCTGCCAGTACTGCCGGCTCAAGAAGTGCATCGCCGTAGGCATGAGTCGGGATGGTGAGTACCTAAAAACCTTATCTTTTTTAATTTATTTATCATTACACGCATTCATAAGACACTTTGATCATACGTCATTCGTACGTACACTTTCGTGCCCGAGAGTGTCCTTGCGAAGCGCTTGTTCGATCGATGAAACAAAAAAAAAAAAAAAAAAAAAAAAAAAATTTCAGTAGATAAAGGTCGGGAACGGTAATACACGAGCACGAAGTACACACGGGCTAATCCAGTAGCCAAAGAGATCCGCTCTCGAGGCTACGTAAGCTTGTCGCGATTGCTCAAGACGATACAGACACGAGTGTACGATATACGCGAGAGAAGGACGGCGGAGGGAGAGAGAGAGAGAGAGAGAGAGAGAGAGAGAGAGAGAGAAAAAAAACGAAAAGAAACGCGAAGCGCTGACCGTGTGTGGGTATGTATCGCGCTCGATTATTTCGCGGAGGTCAAACCGAGACGTCCAACAGCCGTGGCCTTTTTTCCTCCCTTTGATATACTTTTTTTTTTCCCTTTCTCCCCCACTTGAAGGGTACTCTTACCGCTCAAGGGAGAGCTACTGTATCATACGTATATATATATATATATATATAGAAAGGTTGGCTTGCTCGCGAGTGATCACACGAGGACACGTATGGAGAAAGAAGAGCGTTTTGGAAATTTGGGTTGCCGGGGCATCGACCGTTTACGCAACGGAGACGTCGCTGGGGGAGAGCAGTTGTTGCCATACGTATTTATATGTATGTATATAATGTATCGTAGCCGTGCTCTTTCTCCGATATGTATACACATACATATATACGTACGTACACGCGTGCACGAGTACTTTGCACAACGAGAGCGCGAGGCTGTTCTTTCACGCGGGCGAGAGTGTCGCAACTCGGGCGCGCGGCGAAAGTGGACAGTCCCGCGCCCGCCTTCGAGAAAGTCGCGGCATGTTGCGATCGAAAATTTCGTTTCTTTTATTTTATTTCATTTTATTTTATTTATTTATTTTTTTTTTGTTTGGAGAAAGAGAGAGCTCCACCGGCTCTCGATCCAAGGAAAAATCGAATGAAATGGCCGAAAAAATCGATTGCGGGTGATTTTTTTTTCGTTTTTTCTGAAATAATAATTACCAAGTATAATCCTATCGCCAAAAAAGCTCCCGGTAGTCATGAATCAAAGATTCGCGGCCAAAGATAACATGTTTTGTATTCAAGTCGATCCTTTCAAGTTGCATATGTACAATCGAAAAAAAAAAAAAAAAAAAGAAAAAAAGTAAATAAATAAAATACAGAATTGAGACTTAGAGATGAAAGAGAGACGAGTCCAAGGCGCTTACTCGCGCGCAACTGCTACTCGCTCATTCCATCTGCGAGGGTTAGCTCGGAGTTTTCCTCCCACCTCTCTCGGTTGTACGCCCGCGGGGTCAATAATCGGTCGTTGCTCGGGCGCACTCTACTCTCTCTCTCTCTCTCTCTCTCTGTATATATACGTATATACGCGCACACGATAGAGTGGTGCGTGCTTGCAAGTGGTTCCACCAGTGGAAAAGAGAGTACCGCTACGCTCCGCTATCTGCCTCTTGGGCTCGCTTTTTCTGCCCCTCTCCCCCCACCTCGGTCGCTCACCCTATCGCCCACTCTCCCTCGTTCGAAGGTGGGGGATAGTCAGCAGTACTCGTACGTGGCGCCACCGCAGCGGAGACCTCGCGAACCCTCGCGGCCGGTGGCAACCCCTTCCCATTACTTTTACTCCCTCTCCTACTCGGCGCTGTACGTCTGCGCGTGTCTCGGCTGTTTCTACTTTGCGGAGTCGCGCTCATTCGGCCTTCGGCCGTCTGTCGCCGAAGAGCCTTCCCTCCGAGGTTGGACTCGCGCTCGATTATCCCTCGCATTGAATCAAACTGCCGCTTACGACGGTCGACTCCAACGAAACCTGCCACAGCTGTACTCATCGATGATTCTTTGAGGTGTTTTTTTTCTTTTTTTTTTGTCTTTTCATAAAGTGATGTCAATTTTTTACAAGGATAAAAATGAGCTTTGGCTTAAACTTGAAAATCATTTGAAATGAGAACAAAAAGCTCCGTTCGAAAGCGTACCTACGCCATACAACGTAAAACAAGAGAGAGTACGTGTATGGGGGGGGGGGGCACGTACATCGAATACTTCCTCATGATAGCATCGCGAGCTTTTACCTACACTATACCGACACAGCGCGAGATGCACATGTGGGGTGCTTGGGTGCATGCATTCGAGCTCCGCGCGGCGCAGCGACTGATACAGCGGTGGCTATCGTCGCAACCAAGTTCAAGGCCAAAGGCTCGGCGGCGCAAAGGCCACAACCGCCTCTCCTCCTCCTGGCACTCACACGATTATTCATCCTCTCATCCGCACCCACACGATCTTCCCTCTTATCTGTGCGATGTATACACACGTTGGTATATCATATACGTGTATAAACGCGTGAACGAGCGAACGCGAGAGAGAAAGAGCACAGAGACGACGGCACGCGCGGCGGTACAACTATAGGTAGGGGTGGGACGAGAAGAGAACAGGAGAAGGGGGTGGCGTTGATCCGCGCGCGCGCGCGCGTGTAGATATATGCGCGCGCGCGGCGGCGAGTAAAGAGAGTACACATGGTGGGGGTAGCCCCGGCACGGCTGTTGAACGCGGCGGGCCGGTGGGATCTTCGCTCTCCTTCTCTCCGGCCGTTTGTACACTCTGTATAGTGTGCCACCGCGGTATAGAGCGGTCTCGCGCCAGTCTGCGGTGATGCTCTCGCGCGCCAACACGCGCGTACGTGAACCTCACAGCTCCGGCTCGGAGCACGCCGAGTTGCAAGTGTAGAGCTACGTTATCACTTGGTGGTTTCACGGTCTACGTATTGAAAAAGTTACCGGAAAGCACTTGTGTGAATTGCAATCATCGGTGCACCGGCTTCGCCGTGGAAGTGTGGTTTTTTGGTTTTTGGTTGAAAGTGCCGGGTACCGTGGTGTACCCCCCCTCGTGTGATAAAAAATAAACCTCAGTGTCAAAGCAACGAGTACATCCCAACAAAGAGAAAGAAAGGAAATATAATCGAGTGCCGTGGTGTCGTTGGTGGTGATTTTTTGTTTTCCATCTCCGAGTGCGCGGGGTATTCCCGAAGGCGCTTCAAAATTTCGCCGAAATTCGAAAAACAGCTCATGCCCGCCGTCATGGGGGACGAGCTGTCGATCCTCAAAGGCATCCTCAACGGGAACGTCGAGTATCACAATGCACGTAGGTGTCTCGACAAAGTTCAACGACCCTTCGCATCTCACTTCTTCACTAAATCTCCTTGCACATAGGCTCGCGGATACTGTGTATAATACGGTCTCACCTTCCGAAATTTCAAGCGTCTGACCGTAACCGGGTACTTTCTACTGCGCGACGCTTTCAGCGAGAAAGTAGCGGCGCTCACTCTCACTTTCACCGCGCGACCTGGAAACCACAGTGCTTTTTTTTTTTTTTTCCGTTTCGATTCTCGCTCTCTCGTAATACATAGAGACTTGCTCCGCGACTTTGGACTCTGCGTGGGAGACAAGAGAGTCGGTCACGCGATACCGAGGCACTTAACAGACGGGCGAGAGAGAAGGATACGCGCGCTAGAAGAGAGACCTTAGCGTCGAATCATTAGGTGTACACATAAGCGACGTTCTCTGTCATTGCTCCACATATTCCGTTCGCTTTAGCCTACTTTTTTTTTTTTTTTTTTTTTTTTTTTTTTTTTTTTTTTTTTTTTTTTTTTTTTTTTTTTTTTTTTTTTTTTTTCTTTTTTTTCTTCAATGCTCGCGTTGTGTATAGGTACGGCATGCGCCGCCTCATTGTGTCCCCCATGTATATAATATACTGTAGCACGGTAATAACTGGAGACGAGCTTTTTCTACTCAATCAGCTCATTGCCACATCCATGCATACATGAACGCCCACTTGCTCGCGCGCGACACAACACAATCTCATCGAACCCAATCATTAACATCAGAAACAAAAACAAAAAACAAAAAAGAATAAAACAAAAAAAAATTGGCAGTATTGAAAAAACGCGGGGATCTGTGTTTGCTCTTGTGGTTACAGCCGTGCGATTCGGGCGCGTGCCCAAGCGCGAGAAGGCCAGGATTCTGGCGGCCATGCAGCAGAGTTCCTACAGTCGCTCGCAAGAGAAGGCAGTGGCCGCGGAGCTCGAGGACGAGCAACGGCTCCTAAGCACAGTCGTGCACGCCCACTTGGACACGTGCGACTTTACCATTGACAAATTCGCCCCGGTTCTCGCCAGGGCCCGCGAACAACCCAACTACACGGCCTGTCCCCCGACACTGGTGAGTACTCATTTTTTGTTTTTGTTTTTTTCACGCATCCTATTATACGCGCGCGTATCGTCATCGCCATGACATTTTTTGTTGTTGCTGTTGTCGTTTGGCCGTCGATATTATTCTTAATGATTATTTACGGAAACGTCCGCAGACGCGTCCTCGCGAGATCATACGTATACAATATACACACGCGTGCACAAACGAAGAGCCAGGAAGCAGAAATAATAATAATAATAATAATAATAATAATCGTAATAATAACTCTCGCGCCGTACAGCCGCAAGGCCGGTGAGCGTCAATGAGTGACGTCGCGTGCTTTACCCGTATACTTGTACGTATCGGTATACTCTTCTTACGTGATGCTTTTCAAAGAGGATTTTTCATAACCACGTCGGATGTTTACATGGCACGCGTTTCTTTTCATGTACTTTTGGATGAAATGCATTGGCGAAACTAAAGGGGCCGTTGTCGGTGTGTGTGTTTGCTTGTTGTGTTACAGACGTGTCCGCTAAACCCAAACCCCGAGCCCCTGACCGGACAGCAGGAGCTCCTCCAAGACTTCTCCAAGAGGTTTTCACCGGCGATACGCGGCGTGGTCGAGTTCGCCAAGCGAATCCCGGGCTTCGGGCTTCTGGCCCAGGACGACCAGGTGACGCTGTTGAAGGCCGGCGTGTTCGAGGTCCTGCTCGTGCGGCTGGCGTGCATGTTCGACGCCCAGACAAACAGCATAGTGTGCCTGAACAACCAGGTGCTGAAGCGCGAGTCCATAAACAACACGAGCAACGCTCGCTTCCTCATGGACTCGATGTTTGATTTCGCCGAGCGCGTCAATTCGCTTCAATTGACGGACGCCGAGCTCGGGGTCTTTTGCTCGGTGGTGGTCATTGCCCCCGACCGGCCCGGCCTCAGGAACGTCGAGCTCGTCGAGCGCATGCACAACAAGCTGCGCAGTGCCCTGCAGGCCGTCGTTGCCCAACACCACCCCCAACAGCCCGAGATCGTGCGCGAACTCATGAAGAAGATCCCGGACCTCAAGACCCTCAACACCCTTCACTCGGAGAAACTCATAGCGTTCAAGATGACCGAGCAACAGCAGCAGCTTCAAGCCCAACAGGCCCAGCAACAGCAGCAACAGCATTGGCCCATGGAAGAGGAGCCCGTAGCGTCGTGGGGCTCCTCGGACGCGTTGATGGACGAGGCCGTCAAGAGCCCGCTCGGCAGTGTCTCGAGCACCGAGAGCACCTGCAGCGGTGAGGTCGCCTCTCTCATGCACGACTACCAGCAGCACCACATCCATCACCACCACATGCTCCATCAGCAGCAACAACAGCAACAGCAACAGCAGCAGCAGCAGCAGCAGCAGCAGCATCATCATCATCTGGCGTCGAGTGTGTCCGGACACCACGCGTCGAGCGCGCCCCTGTTGGCGGCTACACTAGCCGGTGGTCTGTGTCCGCATCGTAGGCGAGCCAATTCTGGTAGTACGAGCTCCGGCGACGATGAGCTCTTGCATCGGGCCACGAGCAACAGTGGTAGCTTGAGTTTGTCGTCGAAGCCGACCCACCAGCATCAGGCTCAGTGCCCGCGCTTCCGTAAGCTCGACTCGCCCAGCGACAGTGGCATTGAGTCCGGCACGGAGAAGCCCGACAAGCCGGCGAGCAGCAGCAGCACGAGCAGCGCACCGACGAGCGTCTGCTCGAGCCCGAGTCCCAGATCCGAGGACAAGGAGCTCGTCGAGGACATGCCGGTTCTGAAACGCGTGCTCCAGGCGCCCCCGCTCTACGACACGAACTCCCTCATGGACGAGGCGTACAAGCCGCACAAAAAGTTCCGCGCCCTTCGGCAAAAGGACAGCGCCGAGGCCGAGCCCGCCGTCAGTCCCCAGTTGCACACCAACCACCACAGTCACCAGCACACCCAGTCGCAGCTGCACATGCACCTGACCTCACCGCCCGCGAGGTCGCCCACCTCCGTGACCCAGCAGTCCTCCACCTCGTCCTCGTCGTCATCGTCATCCTCGCCACCATCACAGATCCAAACGTCGACGACAACGACGGCGACGACGGCGGTGACGGCAGCAGCCATAACGACGGCCGTGGCTGCCACGCTGACGACGCTACAGTCGGCCCTTCAGAGCCAGTGCCCGCAAACGGCTAGCCTGCTCAGTAGTACGCACTCGACCCTGGCCAAGAGTCTCATGGAGAGCCCGAGGATGACGGCCGAGCAGCTCAAGCGCACCGACATCATCCACAATTACATAATGCGCGGCGAGGCGAGCCTCTCGTCCCCGAGGTCGTCGCCCGCCAATACCTTGCACCCGAGCTCGCCCACCCCGGCCTCCTCCGAGCACCCCCACACGCAACAACAGCAGTGCCCCTCGACGACCTCGCGCTCCTCGCCCACGCAACACCACCTCCACCACCACCACCAGCAACAGCAGCAGCAGCAGCATCATCATCATCATCATCAGCAGCAGCAGGGACTGTTGCAGCAGTGCGCGGCGCAGTCGAGCTACGTGCAAAGGTGGCCCACGACGTCGGTTATTACGACGACGACGGGGGCGAGGCAGTCGTCCGAGTACCACCTGATGCAGGTGGGCTCGGGTCAGCATCAGCCGTCGCCGGCTACCTCGCCAAAGTACATGTCCGCTGTGGCGACGAGCAGCACGAGCACGAGCCCGAGGCCCGCGTCGAGCGGCAGCGCGCACACCCTACAGATCCTACCCAACACGACGACATCGTCTACGACGACGACGACGGCAAACATGGTCGAGCTGCAGGTGGACATAGCCGACAGCCAGCAGCCGCTCAACCTGTCGAAAAAGTCGCCATCGCCGTCACCGCGGCCGAGCGGCCTCGTGCAACAGCACCAGGGCCCGGTGGCTTGCAAGGCTCTCTCCCTCGAGGCGTAGTCGCCGTCGTCGACCCCGCGGCTTTTTCCTTTACTTTAAAACATTATAGTCCTCGTTGTTGCCGTTGTTGTTTGTTGTTGTTGCTGTTGTTGTTGCCCTGCTAACGTGACGTGTGCCGTTGACGACGACGTGACAGTACGTACCGTCGTCGCGACCGAGGGGAAAGATAGCCCACCTGTGTTATATTCTGTGGTGTCGCGTCGTCGCCGAGACCCTCGCAACCACAGCCACGCGAGCTCCTTCTTTGGAGGGTGTGGGACGAGGATATCGAGCAGAGGCCGAGGAAGCTACGACAAGTAAAGTTGACGATGAAGTGCCAGGACGCTGCTTTGAGCGCTTACTACAAACCAAATAATTTATTATTATTTAAAACGAAGAGTCGAATTGCCGGTGGTGCACGAAGAGGAGTGTGAGTTCCGAGATGACGTGGTCGATGCGCGAAGGGGGGATGGTGCAAGAGACGAACACAATCGACGGCCTCCCGTGCTTTTTTTTTTTTTTTTTTTTTTTTTTTTTTTTTTTNAAACAAATTTTGAAACCACGTACAATTGTTTTCTTGGCGAAGATTGAGATGCATAAAAAAAATTAAAGTATATGAAATCAAGGTATATTTATTTCACTTATACAAAGCAGCCCCGTAAGCACGTCATTTTGTCTCCGAGTTGTGAGGTCGTCTGAATAAACGTTGTCTGATGAATTATAAAATATGTCTAGATGTATATTTAAATATATATATGGAGAAGAAAAAAAAAAATAATAATGATAATGATAAAAAAAGAAAAACAATGTCGGACGCTCTCGCGATTGTTGTTTGATAAAGTGCCGACGTGATACGAAGACAAAATTTGACGATGAAAAAAAAAAAAAAAAACAAATAAACAAAAAAATAAAGATGAATACGGAAATTGAGTGTTCTCTCCGAGTCCACCTAAACAGCGACAGAGCCCATCCATCCATTTATATACATATAATCACCGACGTAGCTTATCGATGATCAATCGAACAAGCTTTGTCGTTGCGATGAAAATCAGTCTCAAATGCGGCTGCTGATGGAGGGAATAGTGATGGAGAAGAAAATAGTTGAAAAATGGAAAAAAAAAAAAAAAAAAAAATTGATTAAGTAAATCTATTACATGTGATAATCATGGAAATCGCGCATCCTGTACAGTCTCCACCTCATTCATCAATCATCTACTCTACTATTATTATTGAATTTTATGCAAGTAATTAATTAATTATTGTAATAGCTCGTAAGGCAATAGTGTATAATCGTATGAGAAGATGAAAAAAAAAAAAAAATAAATAAAAAATAAAAACAAAATGATGAAACACACATAATGATTATCCATCATTTAATGTGACGTATACAACAACAACACGTGTGTGCATGGTACACGGGTGCACGGGTGCACGGGTGTATACGGTATACAATATAAATCTTTGCAAGAGTAAGTACGCGTGAGCGAGTGCGAGCGGATGTATATATTAAGTGTGACTGAGTATATACATATATGCATTCATACATATATACATATACAGTGTAATCGGAGAATACGTCCGAGGCTATTATTATGAAACGAATGAGCGAAAGCTAAGTAGATGCGAAGATTGAAGAAAAAAAAAAAAAAAAAAAAAAAAAAAAAAAAAAAAAAAAAAAAAAAAAAAAAAAA